GGCTGGCGATTTCACACCTGCGAAATGTCCTACTGCGCCAGAAGACAGTGCACACGGTTTGTGACGTGTTGACCATGGCGACTGCCGCAGGCGACGGACACGTCGCGATGAATGCTGGCCGTGGGTGAAACATGCCACGGAAGGACGATGACGTGCATGGATGGACATCGTGGCCATGACCACCGCGGCGAAACGACGTCGCATGCAGGGTGGTTTCAGCTTAGTCGTGTAACGACAGGAGTGTATTTACGTCGTCGCCGCCACTTGGAATGCGCAGTTCGAGGTCCAGAGCAAGCAATGCGAGTGGGCACAGCTGTGGGCCAACGCTGTCGCGAGTGCTCCCGCCTACCGTCAGCGAGATCCCGCCATGTGCCGCGGGGGACTCGCCCGTTCCGTCCCCACATCGTCGAAGCAATATGCGTCGGAGCCGACAATCAGTTCCTCGATTGAGCTTAAGTCCTAGTCCGCGTCGGTCGGCCATTCATGCTCCTCGAGCAGGTGCGACACTGTCCATGCATGCACCGCCTTCCATTGACATGGTGTGTGGCGCAGTGGCCAGGCTCTTTCACCAGTTTGCCTCGTACAACAAAGACCAGATCCTGGACGCGGACAGGTTAGAGAGCGAGCTGAACCAAATGGCCAACGACAATGCGAAGCTGATGCGCGATCCCAACAAAAGTACTGCCGTCGCCAGCCGCGACGCCCGCTCCTGACTGTGAGTCGTAGAGTACATTTTGTCCATGCATTCCCCCTTCAAGATGTACTGGGACTCGGTGCTTGCCTTTGCCACGTGCTACGCGCTCATTTACATCCCTGCCAACATTGCGTTTGGCCTGAGCGACACAAATCGAACCATGTTCGACATCCAAGTCATCGTGGACACCCTCCTCGTCCTGGACGTCCTCGTGCGGTTCCAAACGTCGTACGAGGACCCGTTCACGCACCAGGAGGTGTTTGACGCGGCGCGGATCCGACAGCGATACATCGTGCGATGGTTCGCACTCGACTTTTTGGGCAGTGTGCCGTCGTCGTTCCTCGGCCGGGGCGCTTACATTCGATATCCGTCGCTCAAGTTTATACGACTGTGCATCATTTTGCGGGTACGTGCATTCGAGCCGCGTGGCCAACGCAACCGCGGGTGGCCGACGGACGCCGGGCGTTGGCCGAAACAACGGGTGGTCATCGACAGCGTTTGCGTAGGCGGTGCACATGGCCCAGTCGACGGTGTTCGTGACGTTCATGCACAGGATGAGTCGGCGGATGAACTCGAGCTTGTTGCGACTCTTTTTGCTTGGAATTCTCTACCTCGTCGCGCTTCATTACGTAGCGTGCGGGTACTACGTCATGACGGCATGGGAGAAAAACGATAGCAAGTGGTGCGACACACCTACAAACGTGTTTCGATCGCCTGGCGTCGACTTGATCTGTCTTGGATGTTCAGGGCCATCCCATTTGTCGCCAACGACACGACGGCGGTCAAGTACATCGGGTCCTTTTACCAAGCGCTGGCCGCGACGTCGGGCGCGTCGCTGAACCCCAAGACGATGGTCGAAATGCACGCAACGAGTACCCTGCTCCTCCTTGGGATCGTTGTGAATGCAAGGTACGGTCGCAGGTCGAGAGCCACGGTGTCCGTCGGCGTCGTGTACGGCGCGGTTCGACGGGACGAGCATTTTCATTGACGACGACGCTGTCGTTTGGTAGTATATTTGGGACGTGCGCAACTCTGATGAAGCAAGTGAACCTGGTGGCGGACGAGCATGCGAGGCAGGTCGACGCGATCCGCACGGGGCTCATTGCACACCACGCAACAGAAGACCTCCAAGCACGCATCATGCACTACTACGACAGCGTTCTGGGCGAAGAGAAAGCGCATGTGGCGACCGCGACGGGCCTCGAAGGGCTGCCTCCCAAGCTCAACGTTCAGCTCACGTTGATGCTGCATGTTGACTTTTTGCGCAAAGTGCCGCTGTTTTACACGATGGAATTGGACGATATCGTAGCCCTCGTCCAGGGGCTCGAACGAGTCGTCGCTCTCGCTGGGGAAGTCATCGTTCGCCAGGGGGAAATCGTACGTTTTGCGTGGCGGAGATTGTGGTGCAGACGAGCCGTTGGCTAGCACGAGATCGATGCGTAGGACCTGGCGCTGTACATGATCGAGGCCGGAACAGTCGACGTCGTTCTCACCGAGCCCCACTTGCCCCGCGCGGGCAAGTCCAAACCCCACCGTGTTGTGCTCAACCAGTTGCACGCGGGGGACGTGTTTGGCAGCCTCGACACGGACAAGGCGCCAGCCACGATTGAAGCAACTGCGCTGTGTTCGCTGCATGTACTGACAAAAGCCACCCTCGACGCGATCACGCGGGAAAACGACCGGCTGCGGGCGGCGCTGCTGCATACTCAACTCAACGTACGACGGCAATCTTGTCGTGTGCGGATCCCTGACGACACTACATGATGCCACGTTTAGAAAACGCCGCTCGCCGCGGCCGCCGCCAAGAAATGGGCGTCAAGTCGGAAAAAGGAAACTAAACTGTCGCCCCTTGAAGCGATCATGAAGGACGTTCGCATGAAGCACATGGCCCAGCGCATGCTCCGCCGGCAGCCCAAGTCGCTCCGATCTCTTTTCCCCAACGGCGTTCTCGAGGAAAGCGGCAGGGTCAACTCCGCCAAGGCTCGAGAACGAGAGAAGGCACTCAAGATGCTCCAGATCCTAAAAGGCAAAGTTCAGCTCGACGTAGCTACGATGCAGTACGTGAACCACCTCACTCACGTCGGTGCGAAGCGGATGGCGGGCGCGAAGCGAATTAAGCGCAGCATATTGAGCGAAGCGTCGGCGCGGCAGAGCTAGCTGACAACGAAAGAGCGGTCACTGTCAGCGAATGAAGCAACGTGGCCACGTCGTGCGGCGTCTTCTGTACTCAGTCCAAGTCGAGGGAGTGCATTGGGCTTAGGCAGGCCATGATACTGGTACAAGCTTTCGTGGCATGGCGGCGACAAGGTCTTGGGACCGCACTTACAAGTCATGGATGGCTGTTGCAAGTTGAAACACTGGAAACCGTGCGGAAGTGTGTCAAATGAATCAAATTCTGGCAGGACCGACGTGGAAGCAGAGCTAGTCCCTCCGCTAGGTCGGTACAACGTCCCTGGGCTACCGAACGCGACATTGAATTGAAAGAGCCATTCAACGCACTCATGTCTTCACCACTCTCGAGGCTGGCCGAGACTGGGGTCCCTCGATGAAAGTAAGAAGCACGCATGAGATTGCATTGGTTCACAGGCATCTTTCCGCCCTCCGTCGCCCGCCCGCGTCGCTCACGCCAGGTCGTTGCCTGGAGGCTGACTCGCACGCGCTTCCACGAGCGCCTTGGCGCGCTCGACGACGTGACGAGGACACCCCGCCAGCGCGGCGACCTCAATGCCGTAGGACGCCGACGCCACCCCCGGAACCACTCGATGTGAAAACACCAGCGATCCTCCACTAGAGCAAGTCGCGATCAAGCTTGGTCAGCGATAGCGATTCGACGGACCTGGCGACGACTTGCATGTGGTGGTACGCCACCGGGGCGTCTCGCGCAATCGCTTTGTCTAGCTCAGTAAAATGCGTGGCAAACAGCAACCGCGCGCGGCGGTCCAGCAGCTCTTCCACGACCTACACACACCACACTTTGACCCAAACTGCGCGCGGGGTTAGCGCCGCCCCACCGCTTGGGCGATCGCAAGCCCATCTTGCACCGACGTGCCACGGCCGACTTCGTCCATCAACACGAGCGACCGCGACGTGGCCTAATGGACAGTGTTGGCAGGCCGTCTGCAAACCATTCCATCATTGTCGTGTAGTACGAACCTGGTGCAATATCGTCGCCGTTTCCTGCATTTCGACCATGAATGTACTTCGATCGGACGCCAAATCGTCAGACGCTCCGACCTACCATCCATTGCACGTGCCCATGGAGTACCCCCGTGCACGCTTCCTCTCGTACCCGACTAAACAAGCGATCGACAACCCCAATGGTCGCCGACGTGGCTGGAACAAAGCTGCCCATCTACGTGGTACGTCGTCAGCCAAACAACCCATGCATGAATCGCAGAGGGAGGTTGCACCAAGGCGGCGTGCGAGCCTCCCGTCGACGGCGTTCCCTGTATGATAACTGTACCTGGGCCAACACAACAAGGTGCGCGGTTTGCCGCAAGAAGGTGCTTTTTCCACCCATGTTGGGCCCCGTGATGACCCATGCACTCTGTGCTGGAGGCGACAGATGCACGCTATTCGGCACAAACGACCGGCACGTGCGCTCATGAACGGATTCAACGATCAAGTGGCGACCTTCCACAATCGCCAACGTGGCATCCGTCGTCAGCGTCGGTCGCACCAACGCATGATCGAGAGCTAGCAGGTCATTCGGTCATTCCAGGCAACACGCCTTCATCGACAGTAGTAGCGGCACGACGTCGCCTGGCTTCCCACACGTGTCGCGAAACGTACCCATTTGCGCGTGAGATGACATGACGTCGAGAACGCTAAGCGCACTCGCCATCTCATGCAGGGGTGCTGCAAGTGCCACGGCGCTCGCGGTGAACTTGTCTAGCAAGGCTTGTTCCACAGCCATGCGCTACGATGACGCGAATCGACAACGAGTTGAGCGGTAGTTGACGTTGACGATGTTTGGACCTGGTCGTTGGCATGGTGGAGGTCGAGGTTGAGTTGGTCCAGCGCGAGAGTGCGGTAGCGAAGGGCCTTGGTCGTGGTTTGAATCAATTGAAACGACGCATCTGCCACTTGTCATGACGAGGTTGGAACGGTCGGGCCATCTTACCGTGAACTGGGGTGGCTTGCGGCACTTCGACACACCACCCGAGCTGCAGTTTCTTGCGGACAATGCGGAGCTTGGCGTTGGCGGTGTTGCGCTGATACGTCGCTTGCAGCGCTGAGATGGCGTGTTCTTCATTGCACAGCGCTCGCCAACCATCCAATTCCTCCGAGTACCCTGTCACGCCGGCGTGTAAGTGATGGTGGCATCGCCCGAACATGTCCTGCCAAGGTACCGACCTGGCCGAATAAAGCCATCTTTGTGATGGAGCTGGACCACATCATCCATCAAGGCTTCCTTGAGCTCGTTGGCCAGGGTCACAACTGCATTGGGATGGTGGTGACCGTGCTGCCGACCACCCGCACATACCTTGAGGTTGCTGCAGCGCGTGCCGACACGTTTTCAAGAGAGGTGACGTCATCGAGTTCAAGAGCGGCAGGATGTTCTGGCATTCCACAGCGGTGTCGCTGATCTAGGGCCAACGTCATTTGGGTTGGTGTGGTGTAATCGAGTACGCGTTTGAGATCCTTGGGCGTTCCGGTCGTCCCGCCGATGGACAAGCGCTGCAAACATCGCTCGACATCTCCGCAGTCCTACAACCCGCCGCTCTCATCAAGGTTGTCGAAGGTGGAATCGATCTTTCGGACCTGCAGGAGGCCTCGAAGCTTCTGAAGAACATGCGACGCATTCACGAGGGCTTCAACTGCATCCAGGCGTTCGTTGATGCTGGCAACGTCCAGTAGCGGCGCCGCCAAATGTTGCTACGTCCACCGTCGTGTCAAGAACGATGCATTCAGCTCCACGCTAGCATCGCAGCTCGTTTCAACTCGAACGAATTTGAACCCGACGCAGATCGAGCTGAAGTGTTGACGGCAAAAAACAATTCGAGCCATGTCACCAGGAGAGGTTCGTACACTGAGCAATCTGGCGCCGCCTGCAGTCTTGGTGGCGTCGATGGCGTCCAGGAGGGTGTGTTTTCGCTGGCCATGAATAGACTACGCGAACATCACGATCAGGTAGTTGCAATCGAAGCAATGAGAACGGTCTCGCGATGGCATCGAGATGTCACGATGACATGCCAGGACCACGAACACCGGCCAACGTAACATGCGCACGCCAAGGAGTGTCGGCTTCGCATCAACGACGGAGGTCTCGACTTCCAAAGCAACGGAATGCCGTGCTGCCATACCTTGGTCAGCTCTAGCGACCGCCATACGCTCACGTCAAACCGCATGCGATCCACCTCCTGCTTGGCGTTGCTTTCGACGACAGACGTGGCGGCCATCCGTGCACTCGACATTGCGGGCTTGGACACCACTGAAGAAGAGTCTGAAGCATCCGTGGACGGCGCCACCACCACCCCGGACGCGACGTGTGTGTACGCTAAGAAGTCGCGGATCATGGCGGACGCCCAAGCGTTGTCTGCCGCATTGTTTGGGGGTGGACGTATCGTAACGGCGCACGAGTATGCAGCTTTGGCGTTCTGAATGCGCTGCAGCCACCATGCCGTGTCGCTGCCGTTCGGAAGGGACGGCACCAAGAGCTCGGACGGTTGGAGCCGGCATAGCTCACTGTCCACGTCGTCCACATGCACATGCAGGACGTGAAACTCGCCCGTGGAAATATCTGTGTACGCAATCTGACATGTCGTCGACTCGTGTGGCCGTGACAAGGCCGCGAGGTAGTTGTTTTGCGTCGGCATCAACATCGAGTCCTCCGTCAACGACCCTGGCGTAACGACGCGAACGACTTGTCGCTGAACGAGGCTGTTCATCCCGACGCCGCCGCGCTGCTTGGCGGCGAAGGCCGACTACTTCATCAAGCAAAGGTAGTGAGTCTGTCTCGTTGTTGGGCGAGAGCTTGAATAAAGCAGTGCACACGTCGTCGTCGGGAAAGCAAACGATGGTGGCGGCCCAGGATATCTCTTTTGGAGTTGTTGGAATGTCACGATGACATTCCTCGAAACAACTACCGACAACAAGAACGTACCTCAACTTGGTTGCATATGGCGACCTTTTCGCCGTGGTGTCGTACGAGCTTCTCAACGTACGTGTGCAAGGACGAGAGCGGAAAGCCGCACATAACGTCCAAGGCATCGGGGGATTTGCCCACCTTGGGCTTTGTCTTGCGGGTAAGGGTGAGGTTGAGTAGCTACGGAGCATTGACAAGTGTCATTCGGGTGGAGGTAGAGCGAGGCGACGTGGCAACTTACGTGGGAAGCTCGCCGCGCATCGTCTGCGAAGAGTTCGTAGAAGTCGCCCACTTGAAACAACAGCATGCAGCCTAATCCACAGCGCAGCCATCATGGCGGTCCGACACGGCGGCACGTTGAGTGCCAACAACAGACGTGTACCTGGGTATTCTTGCTTACGCTCCAAATACTGGCGAAGCATTGGTGTCATGCTCTCACGAGGTAATGGAGGTGGGATGGACGTGGAATGCAAACGAAGCGCCGCCGGCCATCGGCGCCATCGCCGCGTCGTTCCCAATAGCATCCCTGTTGGAACTGCAATGTTGGTTGAAAATTGTCCGGATACAATCACAATCGTACGGATAAGCATATTTATGACGAGAACTGCGGCATTCGAAGCGCATGGCCGTCCGTCCGATGGCGGTCGAACTCTATGCTCTCTTGGAGCGATGAGTCCTTCCCTTGGGCCTCACAGCAAGCTTTTGTGTGAGTGGCAGAGCGAGAGGTGGTCTGGCTTGCCGCAATAGAGAGTCTTGTGCCGGTAAAGTGGATGCTGGAGTACAGGATGTGCATACTCGTGGCCTGGAAGCACTGCACACTGAACGTCATGGCATGCCGAGTCGTGTCCAAATGAGCCGTGCGAGGCTGCATGCGAACATACTGTGCAACGATACAATTTGTCGACAACGATCCATTAGATTTGAAAGTTGAGCGGCAAGACCGACTCGTCTTCGCGAGTGAGCCACACCGTGTTGGACTCGGACCCGTCTTCTGCGGCTTGTCGAAAACGGCATGTCTGAATCACCTGACCAAAGAAGGTGTCAGACTTAGCCACCGACGTCAAGAACATACTTTGGAAAACTCGGCTGGTTGCCGCGACAGGATCGGGGCAAGTTGGAGGTGCCGCACACACGACTGCTGCACCTTGAGGAGCGTAAAGAGACCGCCCGCTCCAATGTTCCACCACCGCACCATGGCTTCCCTGGCGCCGTACGATACTACAGCCCTGACATCACAAACAAATTCGTCCACCGTGGATCGTACTCAACATCCCGCCATCTTTGCGAAAGCTCACGGCGCCAATGCTGCTGGTGTGGCCTTCCAGCACGCGCCACTTTGTCGCCTATATCCAACAAGTGCGGAAGACGTCACGAGGGTCCATGCCAGAGGTTTGCCGTACCATACGGAGGTCGTACAGCAGGATCACGCCGTCCATCGTTCCCACAGCCAGGCGCTGCGTGGCTTTGTGGAAATCGACCATCGGGAATCGCTTGACGAGGTCATGGAGGCACTTGGTGCTCTACATTCCATTCGAATGAGACTATTCTCAAGAGCCAGCGCCGCATGTAGGCGGCCATACCATGACAAGACACTTTTTGCGACGGTCTGGCTTGGTCGGGTCCAAACAACTCAACACGGTGTCGACGACTGCCGGCAAATGCCGCACCATTTGTCGAAACTGGAGATTCACCCACGTCATCAAGTACGCCAGGACCCCTGCCCACGTCGTTGTCGTGACGTGATCGAGAGATACCGTCATGATGACATACCCTCGCGGTATGCAATCGACCGGTCGCTCACGTTCATTTCTTGCTGCAGCACCGTCAACACAAACGACGCTTCGCACGTCCCCACTTCGACCAAGAGCCGCATCGACGCCTGCTTGAGGCGCTTCTTCGCCGCATCGTCGTCCAACGTGAGTGGAATGAGCTGCAGGACGAGCTGGCCGACGTCTGTCAAGTGCGGTCGAAACAAGAGCAGGCCTTTCGCGAGCAATTCGGCCGCGACGATCGCCACATGGCTCGGGCCTACTCCATACGTTTTGTCACCACGACTTCCATCCTGGCCGTTCGCCACGCACCCTGGAGACATGCCACGAGGACTTCGCACACTTGGCGAGCGCAAGACGGAGAGATTTCGCCGGGAAAGCACGTTCCCAGGATGCTCAACACTACCAAGTACGACCCCAACCGCGTCACGACGTCTTCCATTGGCCACGTCACCCAGCCTACGATAACGTCATGCCACGGGAACGTCATCAAATGCACATCAACAAGTTTGCAATACCTCCAGGCCGCTTGTCGAGTTGCTGCAACTCGACTTGAAACTTGGTCATGTACGCTGCGGCCTTGGTGCTGCGGAGGTTTTCCGGTAGCCGCTTGATCACACCTACGACCACCACCGACGTGTGATCGTTCGCCGACGACATGACTGTGCGTACCGTGCAAGAGCAGTCGTGACGCCATTTGACTCGCTTCCTGTTGTTGAAACCCAAACTCGGCCAGCGCCTCCAACGATGGCTCCTTGTATTGCGGAACACGCTCAGGCAGGACGACCTAGAAGTAAATACGATGGACAAGCCTTCTTGGTGCTGACTTCGTACAGCAATCTGCGTGATAAGCTGACTCCACAGTACTTGGTCCTCTTGGCTGGTCGTCATCTCCATCACGGACGTGCACATCGTCACCTAGAGGCGACACACATCACGCGCTTCCCTGAACCACGGCGCCACCCTTGTCGTTACCAGAGCGAGGGCCAACTGAGCGGTAAGGTGAGCGGAATGTTGCCACTTGCTTGTATGAAGGCACTTTGGTCGGGGCAGCGGGACGGAAATCGACCCTTGCGGTCCCGAGATTGCAATGCTGTACGTCAAATACGGTTCTCGAACGCCTGGCTCACCAATCTCCATTAGCGTGGGTTGACACACGATAACGTCATCATCGACGTCATGATGACATCTCGACGGACGCGTGTTTCTACAACAAATCGACGTACCGAGCATGTCCCGCACAAGTTGGTCGATGTGGGCGTCGTCATGCCACGTGAGCAGATACGCCAGCAGCGCCGTGACGTGATCGTTAAACGGGGACGATGGGCGCGTGGATGGACCGGCAGGTACGTCGACGTCGCATGGAAAGACATGAACGTTTGGTAAAATGGACGCGGAACCGCGCGGGGGCGACGATAAAGGCCGGAGCAGGTCCCACATGTGCTTGTGGTGCGTGGTCTGGTGGACCATCACGTGGGGCACGATGCGCTCGAGAATACCTGTCGTCAAGCTCCAAATGTACATCATGCGATCAGCGCATTCGACAAAGACGTGATTCGTTTCGAACGCCCATTCGACGTTGACAATGTCGTCGGCATGGCCAACACACTCGAGGAGCACGTCCACCTCGAGCCCTCGATCCCCACTGTCGTGTTCGTGCTGGTGCACAGCGTACAGCGTCATCTACGCGCGAGCAATCGCGTCCCATGAGTCGTACTGCAAGCAGACGTCAGTGGAAGAGATCGTCCGCACAGCACAAGTAGCAAACGGAAGAGCCAACGCACCAACACCACGACGCATGTCACTCGGGCGCCAGGATCAGCGCATCAGCCAGTGCACCGGTGGTTCAAGCTTGCATTTGACTGACCTTTCTATCGGCCCCGACGGACGCCAGGATCATCGTGCCACGTGAACTCGGCGTCACGTAGATCGATGTGATGGACTGCGAATGCCGATGGAACGTGCGCAGGACTGTCCACGACACGTTCGGGATCAGCTGGGAGATCACGACATGGCCCGTTGACGTGCCAGCAAAAATCAAGCACACGCGGCTTTGGACGGGGTGATCGCGAAGGGGCGACGACGGGGAATGCACAGGAATCGACGAAGGCGACGTGGATGAAGGAGCTGTTGTCGACCTAGTTGTCGCAGGGATCGTTGTGGCCGACACGTGGTTTGTGGCGGTGGAATGCGACGGCAAGGACGGTCTTGGCGTGAGCGAATGTTGCTGTAGTTTGTGCAGAAGCGTCGAAATCTTGGTGAGTTTCGCAGCTTGGAAGCCCAGACCAAGGGGGCCTCCCCCACCGCCCGTTGGGCTATCGGCATAGCTTTCGTACACCGCTGCCGAAGGCTTGAACACCCGGGTAACGCTCAAGTGCGCCAGCGCGACGATCCGACAACTTGGCACGCCGTTGGGCAACGAGAGCGTCATCGGCGGTGGCGGGGACTCTGCTGCCGTGGAGGCAGTCCCTCCCAACGCTTGAAGCTTGAGCTTTCCGTTGGCATACCCATGGACCTTCAATACCTCGAAGCTTAGACCTTGTGGCTTGACAACTCTGCGTCCCTTACCAGCATAGGCGCGGAGAACGGAGAATCGCTCGACGTTGCTGCAACGGCATAATTAATTCCTACGTGGCACGGCGGGGATATTCGTGTACCGTGGTCGAGAACTGCATGGGATGTCGTTATATTGCCGTCTTCCTCATCGTTGTCATGCACACAGGGCGATAGAGGCAGCGCGAGGAGAGTCTCAGGCGGCGGCGACGTCCTTGGCCGCCAAATCAGCGAGCACCCGCACGGCCCCACGTACGACACGATTGAGTCATGGTGTTCGGTCGTGGCGGTTCGGACAATTCCTACTCGACACAATTTAACAAGCGGGACCAGCACTGGTGTCTACCAGGCGTTGGTGCGAGCAGCGACGGCCGGGGGCACTGGCACGTGGGAATCACAACGTGCGGAGTCGCAGGCAGGTCGACGCGAGCGAGGGGGTATGCGACGGACTGAGGGATTTCCATGTCGTCGACCTGCTGAAAAACGAACACTTGACCGACTTGGGCAGTGACGTTGTCCCGGACGACGGCCGGGAACGAGTACAACGTGTTGTTGGTTGTCGACAGGAGAATCGTGTGGTTGTCAGTGAAGCCGCCGTCCACAAACTCGACGACGGCATCGCCATGAACGCCCCCAAAGTAGAATGTTGTGCGAGTGGGGGCGTGGTGCCGTGTGTCGTGGCCCGGTTCAAGCCACGTGCGGTGAAACACTGCAAACTTGGATTGCCACACGAGCAGCACGAGCGACGCGTTCGGGCTCAAGCGCACCTGACATGCACGAGTTAGTGCACTGCGGCTTGTAAAGGACGCACGTGGATGGGAAAATACGTCCGCTCGACGAACGTTGTCTGGGGGTTGATTTTTGTATGGATGCACGACATGTCCAACGTGTCTGCCGCCCACGAGATGACCCACGACGAGTGCTCCTGCCACAAGTACGACACCGATGACGACGCGCTGGCGGCACCGCTGCCTGCACCCCCTTCATGCAGTGGAGTTGTCGACGTTGATATCGGCTGCACCCAATTGTAGAGCTTGCATAGCCCTTCCGTGCCCAACACAAGGACCTTCGCATCAATCTACCACAAGCATTGGAACATGAAGGCTGCATGGGACGACAGCACGAATGTACCTGATGGGACTTGTCCTTGCCGTAAGCGCATTCCCCGACCCCGACATCGCGACGGATTTGCTCGAAGCCTGTGCCGAGGCATGCAAGCGTCTCACACGTCCAGGTGTCCACCACGACCATGCGACCTGCGTGTGTACGGAAGCATGAAACAACGAGAGAACGTAGAGATATCTGTACCTTGCTCACCGTAAGCGAGGGCATACCGCTGATTGCTGAACACTTGGAGGCCCAACAACGGTGTGAGTTCCGACACGACGTGGGGTTTCCAATCCATGCACCGACCGTCGCGAAGCAACCAGATCCCCACAGATCCCTGCACGTCGACACTCACGCACACAAACTCTCCCCATTCGTTCACAGCCATCGCCAACCCAACTATACGCGCGGTGTGGCGCAACATGAGGCAGTCCAGCTCCCACGTCGACGATGTGGTTGACCGAAACAGCAGCAATGTGCCCTGCTCCGTCCCGCACACCATCACGATGGATACAGTGTCATGAGGCGCGGCAATCGCAGATGTCGTCACCTTCAGACCCAGCGCCTTGATGGAGCTGTCGCTCCACACAACTACGGGAAGGTGCATCGCTGTCGTTCGGATCTTCTTGTATGATACAGTTCCTGCTATAAAAAATACAAATTTTTAGCAAAAAATAAAACATTTTGGCCAATTAAGGCAGGGACGTCTTGGGCAACAACACAAGGGGAGTTGTGCGCACTCCTGCGCACAGAGATGCATGCATCCTCGTGCGGCAAGGAGTGCAGTGATATGCCGAAGCGGCGAACATTTCGCCCTCTGCTGCATGAACCAGTCACGGGACGGCTCCAGCTTAGTTCGCGGCGTCACGTGCGCCGATACATGACATCGACGTTGTCGTCGCGCCAAACAACCAACGGCGCACTAGATCGCAAGGAACCTCCCATAGATTGAGTCACCGACGCATTTCGTACTTCACTACAATCGTAGAAGTTCCCATCTCCGCTGTGGGTGCTTCTCACGGGGGAAAGCAACATTCGACAAGCACGCATCGCACTGCAACCGGGAATCTCCTGCATGGACGTGTGTTTGTTGTCTCTCCAACGTGTGAGCGCGCCAATGACGGCATGTCCCTGGCGGAGCTACACCCATTGGGCCACGCGAAGCGCTGCTCCTTCCGAGTACATGTACATTGTGTTTTGATTGGGACGACGTTGCTACCACGTCGTCACACGGTGCACGACGCAGACTGACTATTGGTTTCCAAATGCCGCTGCGACGCACGCTTAGTTCCCACACGCAAGTCGTGGTAGGAAGCGCCGTACCTGCAAATAATACTGAAGCTGGTACTTCATCCGCACGAGCTCTTGCTCTGGAATCTACATAGGCCCAGCGCCGTCATTGCAAAACAATTGCCACGACATGTGCACCTTGTCCAACGTGACCGGCTGTGTGTTTGAGGCCGTGACCGATTTGTTTGGCGAACCGTCATCTTCCTCGTCATCGTGGGATGCGGCCTGGCCGTCGGACGACGGCGGTGAGTCGGGCGTCGCGCCGGGGTCCAAGTGAGCCCACAGCATCAGCTGTTTTTCAAATTCTCTGCGAAAACCCCGTAAGAAGACTTTCTCAATGGAGATGACGACGCACGAAGCATTTTGGTTGCCTTGTTGCAGCGCTGCCTGACGCTGTTTGGACGGTCCTTTTGCCAGAGAAGGGAATGTTTCCCCATCAGTGACGGCCGACGACGGCACGCGCTGGAACAAGGGATATGCGCCCTGGGGCACAAACACCACCTACGGATCGGACGCGTCGGCGACCAGCACCACAACTGGGGAAACTCTACGCGAAGATCTTCAATGTAGTCCGTCTCGAGAGTGTAGACATTGATGGCGACTTGGTCGTTGCGATGGAGCTCCATGTGGAAGAGATGGATGCCGCATTGCTTGCAGAACACGTGCTGCGTCGCGTATGTCGCCGAAGCTTGGTGCGAGTAGACCGCGACGTCGGTGGCCGAGTGGTTGCTCGTCATCTGGAGGTGTGTCATGGGCGCAAGCTAACGTAAGATAAAAGGGATGAGCGAACTTCCACGGCCATAGGTATTCCTACAAAGACGGGAATACGACCCAACTTGGAAGGAAACGTGTTGCTGTCGTCAAATGCACACAACGACCTTGGCGCGAGGACAATAAACCTGCACCATGCACATCTTAGAGGGGATATGCAGTGCGTAGGTTCATTACGTCAGATTCCCACAGCCGCAACTGCCCTTGTGTCCAACGAGCGTACTCGGGTCTACATACTTCTGCCTTCATGTAGCAAGGACACCTTCCATGAGCGAAGGCCGAGGGGTTCAACGGGTCATATGTAGCTACCTGTAATACTCGTCCAGCGTCATTTCCTTGGGTTTCAAGAACTGATGCGCCTGCGTTTGCATGCCGTCAGAACATCATCCTCCATAAGGATAGGATTCATACAAGATATATGGCGACTCCGACGCCAATTGTCGCCAACGATCCAATCAAACGGTCAACTCCGGGAAGGCGAGTGCTTCCCATGTTGCTTTGTGTTGTGCTGTGGACGAGAGGATGCGTCTGGAGCCGGAACGGTTCGACGGCGCGATGTCTTTGGTTATGAGGTCGCCGCCCGATCGCAATTCCACTGACTGGAATGCATGCGGGATACAGAATTATTCGAAAATAGAGACTGCAAAACCTCTGTAAATGTATATTTGAACATCACTCCACTGCTTTGGCACAACATTCTCACGGGGAAAATTTTGAAATCTTGTGGAGGCCACGCCAGCGGCACATGGGTTGCCGTGCGGTGCAGACCACCCACCCATCCGCGTTGGTGCTAGTTCCAAGAAGGGTCTCGCGCGGCAACTCGGCGGTAAACGCTCTGCTGCAGCAGTGTAAATAGCCACCAACGAGTAGGATTGCTGGACCACAAGAAGGAGGTGCACAGGATGCCATGCGAATTGACGCGACATTCCAACGAATCACGACGGACATGTTGACGACATGTAGATGTTCACTGCACCAAAATGGCAGGAGCAGCGACCGCCGCTGCTCTTGGTGTTGTATTTCTCGTGAGGAGATGTGGCTCCAGCAGTTCGTCGTCGAGATCATCATGGACACCAACACCATCAACCAACCTGATGCAATGCTACGCTGACGTGTCGACGCTGGCATTGCCTTCATCTTGTGCGCTGTGGTCACAGTTTGCTGCATCACCGTGGGCTCATTCATGGCAAGTTTTCCAGCAATGTGATAGTGGCGCTGATAGAGTCCGTTTCAGCGCGATCGAGGAGGCAAGGTCGCATGAGGGATGTGTGACCATATCGCCATATCATGCGCGAAGCCCCGGCAGTGCAGCCGTGGCTCGACAATAGCCCCCGTCATGGTCTAGCACGACCGGCTTGTCAAATGTTTCTCCGTTCGGGTCGTGTGTTCGACTGCTCCAATGATACGTGCTGGGTCGAAACCACTCCTGTATTGCGCGAAAGGCATCTGCTAGGCCTTGTCTTACCATCGCTTCACTGAAATTTCCCTGCGCCACATGAAAAGGAGCTCGTTCTCTGTTGCTCCGTTCGCTCGATTCATCTTCCGTGGGCTTGAAATCGCCGGCGCCTGCCGTGGCCACGCCGACCCAAACACGACTGTCGACTGCCGAGTCATATCATGTTCGGAAGGGTCTACCCGATGGCTGGAAGACGCACCTGCTGCTCACTCGGCTTTGTGTTAATGTAGAGCGACGGCGTGGCATGCGTGTCGTCGATGTGCTCTACTGGGTTCCAGTTGCGCTCCGTCGCTGTGGAGGAAGGTATTGTCGAGAGACATGTTGCTTGCAATCAAGCGCAAGGCTGGACGGCCCTGCTGTCCCCGCTTGCGAGGTCATCTAAAACGTGTGGCTGTACACTCATGGGAAGGCGATGGTGACCCTAGCTAGGTGCCTTGCCGATCGCATCATGGAAAAAAAAGCCGCCCGAGCATGCATGGGACGACTTTTTCCGGCAACGCCGCCAGCGATTGACTCGGCGAAACATTCTGATATTGCGACCAGAATAGCCAGCGCAGGTCCCCTCCAAACGGGTTCCAGCTGGATGCCTATCCCGCATGAACACTCTTGTCGCAATCGGAAGTGACTGGGAGAGTCCAACCACACCACATGGAAACCTCCCTTTTCTCATGGAATTGGCATTCGTTCGTGTTCGACCAGTCTCCATCGGAACCAGATAAGGTTTTGTGCTCTGTTTCTTCCTCAGGCTGCGAGAGGGTGCTGTCGCCGCCGCTCCACGTCGTCGTGCCGGCGTGGTAAAATCAGGATTGCAGACTTCTCGACCTGTCGTTGGAGTAGCTTGTCGGTCAAGAAGACGACATTTAATCTAGACATGGAGCAGCCAGCGCCGAAGTTGCCGCTCGCGGAAACCTAACCTTCCTCCCGTGAACGGGCTCGTGTGCGCATCCGCCGCCGAGACCCGTGGACACGTCGATGCAATCGGGCGGTGCTACCCCCATTGGGCGCTGGGCAAAAATCGGCCTAGAGAGGTCCGGATATTCTATCCGAATTGCGTTTTACCAACAACAAGGACGTCTAAATGTAGTCGACAACTCGTCATTACCAGATAAAACGTCGAGTCAGATCGACCTGGGAACTAAAACATCAACGTGCAGCGCCACTTCCACCAGCATACGACATTCGGACACGACGGCTACCACTGGGGGCTTGTCAGCGCATTGCACTGTCGCTGGCGTCGGGGGTGCCATGGAGGCAACGAGCGCGCGGCTGAAGCTAGCTCCCAGGTAGCCCCTAGAACACTGCAGATATTCTAGAGCCTATCCAATTAAAAAATGACCTAACCTATTGGCGTGGGAATCACCGCCGTCTATCTGGACGAGCTTCCGACGTCCGACTTGGTTCGCTTCAGCCGGTGGGTTTGCCGAGATCGACCGATGGAGCTGTCGTCGCCGTCGCCTAGCTTTGCCAGGCGGGCGTACACTTGATCGTAGCTCTTGCACCACCAAGTGCCTGTGCTGTACTTGACAGACCCGACAAAGTTCATACGGGAGAGCTTTGCGCCGGGCTTGACGTCTTGGATCATCGCGTGCATGTGTACATGATCGATCGAGTTGAAGGGCGGGCGGTGGAACGACAGGTGCATCTGCGAGTTGAACACGTGGAACCCGAGCTGGGACAGAATGAAGCCCGCGACTTCCTTCATGCGAACAAGAAGGGACAAGTCGTGCTTGGAGAGGTAGTTGATGTTGCGTACGTGGTGCTTGGGCACAATCAGGATATGGCTTTCGTTCGCGGGGTGGAGCGGACGGAAGACCGAGATGTGTTCTTCTTCGTAGATCACTTCGTTCGAGCACGTTGCAACGATGTGGCAAAACTTGCAGCACTGCACGACGTTGGTACAACCGCCGCGCTTCTTGTACGCGACGCCCTTGCGGACGTAGTCGCCACCAAGCTCCTTCGCGTCGACGACAATCACACGGGATTTGTTGGTGTGGACCTCGGCGTCGTCGTAGTAGCTTGCGTTGTCGTCTTCCATCACAAACGGTATCGAGTCGCGGGGAAATTGGGACGAGTGGGGTGGCATGCTCATGGAGGTGAAATTTCGGGACTGACAAGGCGGAAGTAGAAAGGAGGCTCGGGTGGTTCGTCACGTGAGAAGTGGTCCTTTCGTGGTGTGGGTGCCTGCGCTCTCTCGCTCGCTTGCGATGCACCTCTGTTGGAGATGCGTGACCTCCCCAGCTGGATTGGGAATGGAGTGTTGGGGCACAACGCACGGTGTGGACTCTATTGTGATTGGCTGAAAAGAACACAATTTCACAGTGAGACGAGGGTCGCCATGGCCGTTGTCCGTGTTTATGGCCAATCCCCTTGCAGGAACGCTGCCTCCGCCAACCAAGATGCTTCCTTTGATACCCGCCCACGACGGTTTACCCACCCCACCCCATGCTTGTTTACCCGCCCGTGAGTTTCTTTCGGGTGACGACGTCGCCTGGCTCAAGTCGTACCACCACGACTGGCTCTGAGCCAGGGCCAAGCCAGGCGACATGCCCTGCACACGCAACCTGCACATGGTGCAGTCGAAGCCGCGATCGTCGCCACCTGTTGGCGTCGTGTGTGCTAGGACATGGCGCGCCTTCACCCCATGACTTCACAAGCGGCCAAAGCAAATGCGATGCGAGACAACTTGGCACCGCGTTCGAGTATGTGGAATTGCCGTTGGACGGCACAGACGCCATTCTCGCCCACGACGTCCTCGTGTTCGCGACCCTCCGTGCGTGGGTAAAGAGTCAAGGGTTCGAGCCAATTGGTGCAACTCGAACATGAGAAATGTACACAGTACCAGGTGATGATATGGATGAAAAACTGGAAGTGTATACGTGGAATCGGGCCGCGAGATGGGAAACCAAACGGGAGCGTGGCGCTCACTGCCGGCGCACGAAGCGGTCGCCCGAATGGTCGGTGGATCCCGACTGGGACAGACTAAAGGCAATGCACCCACACAACTATGATCTGTCCTGGTGGGCATTGCCCCGACCAGTCGGGCCCTTGTTTTCCCGTGGTGGCGACTTGGGCCGCTGTGTGCTGCCGCCTTTCTATCTCTCCATGATATATCACACGCACACGTCCATGTGCAGTTCGTTTGAATGGGCGGCGGCGGCGCTGGGTGTTGAAGGTTCACGATCCCATGGAAGGGGCATGTCGACGTCGCCGCATGCGTATGGTGCACGGGTGTCCTCTCCCTTCATCTGCGTGTGGGAGTGTAGAGCCACCGCGTACACATTCGAATACGTGGGATGGGTCTCGGCGGCCGCGAGCGACAGTTGCAACGCAATGCCGCGCACATTGAACCTGTGGCGCGTGGATCGGTGTGTTCAGTTGAAGCAACCTCCGCTGTGCCCCACACTCGACGATACCCTATACAGTAAGTACGCCCCTGCCATGTCGTCGAAGACGCAGTGTCGTCCGTCCATCGGCCGTCGCGGTCTCGGCGAACTTACACTTGTGTGCAACGTCCACTCGAGAACGTTGTGGTGAGACGACGACTGGTGTCCAGACGAGCCTAGCGACCAAATGACGGCTGCATGCGGCACCGCCCCATGGCGACCTTCTGGCAGGCTAACGTGGACACAGGCTGCTGCGCTGACGTCCACGTGTGGGGATCGCAGCCACCGTGCGACATGGCCATTGTCGAAGAGTACTAGTATACCTTTTGTCAAGGGTGTGAACGATAAAATGGACGCAATAATTTGATTGGTCCAACATGCCCGGGATATCCGGATGCGTTCGACCTATCCGGCCTGCAACAACCCCGAGGAAACGATGCTATACAGTTTTCAAGTATAAATACGGACCGCTCGTGTCCACAATGACGAGCGCGGCGTTTTCATTGGTATCGGTTACACTCGACGCGTCAGTTACGCGGTCTACTCGAAACGACGCAGAGTCGCGAGCGGGGATGCGCCGGCTCGTGACGGGATGCCGAGGCCTTGGCTTTTGGCTATGCATGATATGGACGGCGATCGCCGACGTTCTAGTCGTGGACGTCACCGACATCGCGACGGTGTCCACTCACGCCAGCCCCATTCTCATCGTGGCATTCAAATCCGTACGTACGGCCTATCGCCTGTCGAGGGACGTTGGTGCCCATTCTTATTCAATCGCCCTTGCTTTGCCATGTAGTCAGATTCATCTTCCCTCGCGAGCGTCGACGCGTTTGCAAGCACTGCAGCCACGCTCTCTTCAGCTTATCCCGATCTCGCGTTTGGGAAGTGGGACCTGGCACTGTATCCGCCGCCTCGTTTAAGCAATTTCGTCGTCCGGGGCTACCCTGCATACCTCTTACTGGACGGTACCTCGCCCCACGTCCCTCGCAAGTACATCGGTCCGCCTGTTGCGAAAGCCATCGAGAGCTGGCTCACCAACTCGTCGCCGGTACTGGAATTCGAGTCCACTGACGACTGGAATGCATTCGTTGCGAGAATGGATGGTCAAGTCGCCCTGGCTATTGTTCCCGACCTTCATAGCCCCGACAGATTGGTGGTCGAGGCGCTTGCAACCATGGACGGCGTTGGGGTGGTCGCACTTCGCCCGTACGACTGGCGTGTAGACGACAAGGTTGGCCAAGTGGGGCCACAGCTCTGGGTGTACGATCCATGGATGAACAAGAAAAGCTTGTACGCCGGGGCGTGGACTGCCACATCCCTCGCTTCCTTCGTCGTGGAGCATCAGCGTCAATGGCTCAGTTTGTACGACCCGACCGTTTCGTTGGACCCCGCCGTGTCTGCGTATGGATTGCTCTTCTCCAGTGGTGCATCGACACCCACACGGACCGATCTCCTCATAACTGCAGCTGAACAGGTACAATGACGCCCGTGTCGACCTCAATGGGACCTAACCTGTTGCGCAGATTATGACCGACCACCGTGTGCGGACCACCTACGACGTCCGGTTCCTTGTGGTCCCCCAGTCATCGTCCTCCCAGCTCGCTACGTTTTTCGACATCACGACGTTTCCAACCATCGTGTGGTTTAAAGACCCAGCAATGTACTGCGCATTTCCATCTAAAGGAGCTGCCCTGGAGGAGCTCGTTCAGCGCCAAGCCACCTCGGAGCTTGCCGACGACTTGATCTCGTTTTTGCAAGCGTCCCATCCACCGTTCGTCCGATCTGATACGACTCTGACCAAGTCCTCCGACGATGTTGCGACCTTGATCGACATCACGACATTGGGCCATCTTGACCAGTTCATCGCCTCAACTGCAACGAATACACCAGTTGCGCTACTCGCGTTGTACTCGATCCGGTGTCCGTCCTGCAGTGCCCTCCTTCCACGGTACATGTGCAGCCTTCCTTGGCATTCCCATGCGCTGACACACCGTGTTGATCGCAGGCTGCTTCAACTTAGCGAAGACACAGCTGTGCGAATAGCTACAGTGAATGCGGACTCCTTCGAATACCGCCACCTCGTGGACGTTGTGGGCGGCACCGAGTTCAGCTTGCCTGCAGTCTATCTTTGTCGGCGAGGGAACGTCGTGCGTCGAGTCGGGACAGATCTCACACCCCCCACCTTGAACGAGCTCATGACAAGTGTCACAAGCACTGGTGGCCCGGGGGAGTCGACTGTCTCGACCGGCGACAAATTCTTGCTGAACCCCCCCCATGTAGGAGAGTAGCCCGCCCATATTTACGACGAATATTCAAGCTATTTATATCACGCGTGGTAATCCTCTCGACAATGGCGCAGCATGGCGCGACGGTCGTGTTCGCGTCGCGAGATCTCGTTCGGACCATCTTGTGCTACCAAGACGGAATCTTCGACGATTTGCGGCCGTACTTTCCCCCGACAGTGGCCCACGCGAAGCTCGTCGACGGTTGCTACTACCCTCGCAATGCGACGGTGGCTGTCCTCCACTTGGCCATTGCCAGGAACGACCGACACGTCGTTGAGCGCCTGCTACCATGTCGTCCTACGATGTTCACAGCCCAAGCGCTCGACCTGGCGGCGTCGTTTGGGCATCTCGAACTCGTACGAGTCCTTCACAGGGCGAGTCCGGGCGGCGCCACGACGTCGGCCATGGACAGCGCCGCGCAAAATGGCCACTTGCACGTCGTCGAGTTCTTGCATGCGCACCGTCAGGAAGGGTGCACCACGTATGCGATGAACTCTGCGATTCGGGAAAACCACGTTGACGTCGTGCGCTTCCTCGCGAGCCACCGCACTGAAGGGTGCAGCGACGCGGCCATCGGTCATGCCGCTGCGACGGGGCAATTGACGATTCTTCGTCTTTTGCACGAGAGCAAAGTCACGGCAAGCACCTTTTCGAGTCAAACCATGGACGTCGCTGCGGCAGCCGGGCACTTAAACGTGGTAAAGTTTTGCCACGAAGAGCGTACCGAGGGGTGTTCGGCCGACGCGATGGACGATGCCTGTCGCCGTGGGTTTCTCGACGTGGTGCGATACTTGCACAAAGTTGGAAAACCCTGCACGACGAACGCCATGGATGATGCGGCGGCGAATGGCCATTTGTTGATTGTACAGTTCCTCCACGAACACCGCCGCGAGGGCTGCACGTCAGACGCCATGGACCAGGCGGCGCGGAATGGACATTTGAACGTCGTGCAATTTCTCCACCGCCATCGAAAAGAACGGTGCACCGCTGATGCCATGAACGACGCCGCGTCCTTTGGCCATTCCCATGTCGTGGCATTTCTCAAGAAGCACGTGGCACCCATCTGTGACTTCCATCGGGCGGCGATCCTGGCTCGTCGCGGAGGACACGTAGAGATAGCGCGAGAACTTGAGGAGCACCTACGAACAAGTCCACCACAGCTCATGACTCCACGATAAAAGAGGTCAGCTGTTCCAATCAAACAGGCCTTTGCTTGCGATGACCTCATGCATGCGCTGGCAGATGATCCGCTTGGCTGGCGAACGTGGCGTAGGCCAACTGCATCGAAGCTTACAACTAGAGTATGTGCTTCCCTGGGCGAACGCTGCTTGGAACTGGCAGCTCGCGATAATGTTCACCTTGCTCATGCATACGGTGCCCATATCACGCATGAGAGAGTTTTAGCTCATGAAAGTGTCAGGCACCTGACCACAAAATGTCAACCCAGCACTGTAGAGATAATTTGTGCCGTAGAAACCTAGCACCAAGACGAGGGGAGCTGCGGAGCAACTTCAGAGCAGTTCGGAACCAGCGCTACTCCAGTGCCACCATGAGGACGGTATATGCTGTCGTAGGTATCCCGCTTGCTGAGGTACTACACGCTGCCCTCGTCAACGTCAGCGTTGTTGGAGTTCCTGGCGTGTTCACAGCTCCTGCTGGACGCATCTGTGGTGGCCGATCGTTTTCCCTGCCCTTGGGCACCTGCCCTGGCCCTCAACTTCGACTTGAGAATGGCTCGTGTTGCCAGCCGCTGCCGAATCGACTCCCCAAGATCGTCCTCGGGTGTATCGCCTTGTTATCGTCCGACGGCAGTTGCCTACTCCCAACTTTAGCTCCGTCGTCAAGCCAAGTCCTAGAAATCTCGACACCCCCAGTCGCTTCAACAATGCCAAGGCAAACTGACACCTTTTCACCATTTTCGACTCCACCCTTTGGCGATTCTACAATCTCTGCGCCAATGCCACGCCCCACAGAAGGAAAGTCTTCGAATCGTTCCCTCTGGATTGGCCTTGGCATCACACTGTTGATAGCTGGCGGGGCCATCCTGGCTGTGGCGTGGCACTATCGACGCAACGATCGCCACAGCAGTCAGCCTCGCATGATGAGCTCTGCACGGTCGTGGGTTTCATGCCGAACCCCTACGACAGGAGCTCCCGCATTTCGTGTGGCTTGGATTCGCTCCCACGAGCCATCGTCGGGCATGAAGTCTCCCACAATTTGGTTTCAACACTGGAAGAAGGCTCGTGAATCTTTGAAGGAAGGTGAACTCGACTGGCGGGACAAGCCACTTCAACGGACACCAACTGTCGTGCACTGCCAGCCCCACCCCCTCCTTCACCCTGCCTTCCAGATGCCTATTGTAGCTTCCCACCATACCTAAATGGTCATCCTTCATGCGATGGCCTTTTGACGCCACGCATAATCACGACCAATCGCTAGTGCCTTAAGAACCGACAGAATGGACTTGTCACTCACTCGCTTAGCACGCCATACGCAAGCGCAATTATTGGAGTATCGGACGATGTTTGGCTAGCCCCTCGAAGTCCACATGATAGACAATCACCAATCAACAGATCTCGATCGAAAAAGGCCGGTGTGGTCGATTGAAATGAGTCGATTTGACGGGATTTGGAGTTGCAACGCATGCCAGGGCCAGATATGAGATGGGGTATCACTCGTAAGCTTTGAGAGCGCCCTCGACGTCGTCACGTACAACAACAACTTGATCAAGCGGGTGCAAATCACTGCGTAGTCGATAATGCACGGCAGTATTTATATTCTACCCAACGATGCAGGGCTCATCATGGCGTTTGGTGACTCTGCTGAGCAGTCCCCGGTATCGGCGGGTACTCGGAGGAGAAGCTATTATGGACGAGCCATTGCAGGACTTGTGGGGGTTGCTGGACGAGGTGGGTCGACTGGATTGATGCTGGCGTCATGCTTGCACAGACACCGGTCGACTGATACGATGTGGAGGAGGCCGCTTTCATCCGATCTGGTCAAGTGATAGAATGTTCTCAAATGTCAGCTCTGCCACAGCTGCATTGGCAATCTCTCGTTAGTTCATATCCATGTCAGGTCTGACATGGATATGAACTAGGCGATGTGACCACTGGCTGGCTTTGGAAAACCGCAACATTTGTGTCCTAGGCAAAACTGCAACATCTGTGTCTTTGGCCATGCATGCATTCGATGAGATACAATATCGTGGCCTAAGGTGGAGCGTTCCCAAGGGACTGGACGCGGCAATCTTCTCCGCGTATTCTATGAGATGAGGTTGAATGCATGGTTGTCCGTGCTGCCAGGTCATTCTCAATTGCTCTACCAGTGTGACTACGGCCAAGTTATGCCACATATCTGGGAGGCGGCGCCGTTACCTTGCTGTGTTCTCGCTGAGCCTCGTTGCCTTCGTGTCCCGCTCCACGCCAGTCGAACTGCTGACGCTGAGTTCTTTGGGGAGAGCGAAATGGCATACTGAAACGACGACGGCCTTGGCGCTCTCCAGAGCCGTACCACACTGCTCTTCCTCGCGCTCCAAGACTTGCGGCGTGACGACTCCACATCAATATCGTTCATCGTGAGCTCGAGACGATGTTTTAGAGAATTCTTTGTTCCGCACCCCGCTCCTTCGCCGTTCCGTCAAGGCACCACTCGCTTGGTACGACTCACGATGCAAACTGAAGTACAGTCAGTTGCCCGGCAGTCCTCTCTCACCCTCTCGTCGTCATCGCACTATTGCCGTGCCGGTAACCTGGCATCTACTAGCTAACCACTACGAACTACCCTGTTTCCAGGCACCCCTTTGCACCGGACAACCAACTATTCGCAAGGATAGGTCGAATCTGGGCGCCCACAACATAGTTATGGGGACTTGCCATAGTCATGTCGATCTTCGGCCTAGTTGACGAGAACGGCCAGCTCAGACGTGAGTTTTGCCTATCAAAAGCACAAAGTAATGTTTGCGATTGGACAAATCATTGGCGCCATCGACAAGGATGGAACGCCCGCGACAGATTCCCCCACATTTTGATCCGGTGGGTATGACTTGTTCTAGTCGTTAGCATGGATGGCGTATTGGCTCGCCAGAGTCGCCGTTGAGAACACTCCGTGATCCGTGACCAGATCGGATGGAAGCGGCCTCCAACGTCGCATCAGACGACAGGCGTCTGTGCATGGAAGACGACCGGCGTCTGTGCA